AACTCAGTTTTGGGCTATTTGAAATTGTAATACGTAACACCTGGAAATATTGGTAGTTACAGTACTTGCAGTAACTAAGAACTGGTTGAGATCACAGTGGACCCATAGGCAATTTCAGTTCTGTTGGCTCTCATTTCTTCACAATACCTCTGTTTTTTCTTGGACCCCAGTGGCACAACAGTATGTCTGCGGACTTACAACGCTAGAAACCGGGGTTTGATACCCGTGGTGGGCAGAGCACATTTAGCCCATTGTGTAACTTTGTGCTTACCTTCAAGGAAACAAACAAGCTGTTTTTTCTTTTTTTGATTGGAAATTTTAGTCCATCAAAAAGACCTTTTCCTGAACCTAATTCTTTTAAAACGCTACAGACCTAGTTAAAAAATAACTGAGAAGCATTAAAAGAAAAAGCATAATCACTGTAGTTACATTGACTCCATGACTCATAAGCAACTGCCTACTCTGCCTTTAGGTTAATCCGGCCTTGACAGTAACAGACCAAACACATCATACAGCAGAAACTAGGGCAGCTACTTGGATCATAAAACCACAAGTGGTTGTGTATAATAACCTGAAGCTATTAATTCTTAGCTAAGTAATCTGATATCTAAATTAATGAAAGTAGCATTGATAATAATTAAAATTCACTGCCTTAATCTGATTCACATTCCATCAATTGTTGTTCGTCAAAATTGATTACGTTTATATGGCACCTAGACCACTACTTTGTCTGTTGTATCCCAGCCGACCTGATGAACCCTGGTATTGGGCAAAAAGCCTCGTTAATACTGGATACAGCAGATGTAGTGTGGTTGTCACTAAAGGTGTGTGGATACAGCGATACGATACGAGTATCGTATCGTGAAGCCGTGATACGATTGTATCGATACATCGTTCGGTACGATACGATTTATGTATCTTCACGAACTTTGGCAAGCTTTCAGTAAATATTATAAGTATTTTGTACAAAAAAAATCAGAATTTCTAATAAAGTATTTTTGCTAAAAATTAACGATTCAATAAAGAATGATGAGTATTGAGTACTACATGTTGTCTTCATTTCTTTTATTAAAAACATTGTATGCAAAGTAACATAACAAATCAACAGTAACAAGATAGATAGATATTAACTTTTTTATTTTAGTTCTCTTGCCAGCTGCCATTTAACTGATCAAACCTGAGAATTTGAAAAAAAACCACTGTAAAGTATGAAATACTTAAATAAGATAATGTTAGTTATATAGATAATAAATTACAGACAAGACTGTCAAACTTTGTAACAAACCGTTGGTAAAACTTCTGTATCTAGATACGTATCGTATCGACTACTATGATGAGATACCCACCTCTAGTTGTCAAACAATTGTTTTCACTCATAGGTTCTTAGAATTAGTCTACAACGACTCGTAATCATGTTCCACCACATAATTTAGATAAAAATGGTGCACTTTTATGTATTCAGGGGAACTTCAGACATTTATTTACATTTATAAGTGGGCTTATATACTAAGGAATCACAGACATGTGCTAATATTGTTATATCATTTTATTGTAAGAATTGAAAAAATATAAAAAATACACATATCGTGATTAGTGTTTTTTGTTATATTCGTATGTTGCACTTTTGACATCTTTCAATACCTGCTTGCTGGGCTTGTATTTACTGTTTGTTTGTAATTAAGCACAAAGCTACACAATGTGCTATTTGTGCTCTGCCCACCACGGGTATCGAAACCCGGATTCTAGCGTTGTAAGTCCGCAGACATACCGCTGTACGATAAAATTATGATCACAGGAATAGGGTATAAAATATCATAGCTAATACTGGTGTATGAGCAGTATCGGAACTTTGTGACATCAGCTAGCGTATAAAGACTAGGCTACAGACAAACTTTACTTTTATTGAGCATATGTATTGCAAAGATAATTCTGTTCCAAAGACATTTCTATTGATTAATGTTTTCTGTTTAAACAAGGTATAACAATGTCACATAAAATGAGTAAATATTTACTTTATCCTGGTTGGCACTCCGTGAAGTTGAATTTTGTGACTCTTTACTTTCTCTGGGTAGATCTGATTAATAAGAATGGTGCTGTTACCTACAATATGATGAAAAATAGGTACAATGTTAAACAAAACAGTTAATAAAAACGCATTGTTATAAGAGAGAGAAGTTTTTAAAGCAGGAATTTACTACATTCATTTTCTGAATATGTAATGATGACGCGATTGAAAAAATGAGTAATTCATAAATTGCACTTAGGTCATTTCGGTTTATTGCTTCAATATATGCTAAGAACAAGATAACCGTATTTATTAGGTATAAAATAGTTTTGCATAGTTTTGGATCTGGGTTCAATCAAAACGAACTAAGACTATTCAGTCAAACATATACGACATATCTTGTCTTTGTACTGTAATTTATAAATTGAAAATTTTGTTTTATTGGATGAAATAAAGTTTAAAAGAAATGCAAGTAACATATCCAAATAACATGTTCCACATTATTTAGTGCGTAATATTGCAGTTTGTAAAAGTAACATAAACAGGATTGAATAAATTTGTGATGAAACTTCATAACAGATTGATGACATTGTAGTGGAGCACTTAGCATAAGTTGACGAGTAGTTACAGACAGTATATATTCGTTATGATAGAAAAAGTCATTAGCATTACATTGAAAATATAGGCATAAAAACATCTATTGCTATAAACCCGGTTTTTTTTTCTGTTATTGCCGAAATGAGACGGGGAATACTGGTTTTTAATAATGTAATGCACCTACTAACTTCAACGTTAAGGAATACACGACAATAAACCAAATTCATGACACACATGTTTAATCCTATGCAGGGAAAATATAACCTCAGATACAAAGATAAGAGTTATGCTTGAAATATTTACAAAGTTTTTATTTGTATAAACTATGGAGGTAAATCTTCTAGAATTTGATAATCTTTGCATTGCTCGTTAATCCTTATAATTAACCAATATTCCAAATAGTTTAATCC